GGCCGGGGCGCCGTGCGTGCCTGGAGCCGGCGCCTCTCAGGGCTGGCCAGGGCTGAGGCAGGCCCTGCCAACCCCCTGCGGCCCCAGGGCTTGGAGGAGGAGAGGAGAGGTCTCATCCTGTCACCCTGTGCAGCTGCCCGACACTGTCCCCGTGGTCCCACTGCAGGGCTGAGCACAGCTTCTCAGGGCCAGTAAAAGGAGGATGTGGGCTAGTGGTTTTAGTCATCTTCCCAATCCACTGGCAGCAGAACCAAATGCAGGGTCACAGCATGAGGGTCTCTACCAAAACGAGCGAAAAACCTCAACCCCAACCCCTTCCCAAAGGCAGAAAACAGCTGAGGAATGAACATCTGCCCCAGAGCCCTGCCCAGCAGCCAGCATCCCCTGCATGGAAAAAACGGGAATGAGAACATGTGGATTTAGGCCAGTGGCAAACCCCAGACCTGGCACACACCCGGGAAGCAAAGCAGCTCTGGACTCCAGCTGGGGCTCTGCACAGCAGCTGGTCACCTCGCTGCCAGGTGAGGCCACCTGCCACCTCCCTGAACACCACTCATGGCAGTGAAGAGCCACATTCCTCTCCAGAGAGTGCTGCTTTTGAGAGGCAGGAAGGGGCAGGGATGCTCAGGACAGGCGTGTTCTCCTGCCCGGGACACTGCTAGCGCTGGTGTCCTGGATGTGGTGCCCTGGGAGTTAAGTGATGTCCTCCTCCTCCTCCTCCTCCTGCTCCCCCAGCAGAGAAACCATTTGAACAACCTGGGAAGCTACAGACATTCTCACTTGCATTTTCTCCTCTGGCACTGCAGCAGTCAGCAAGGATCACGTCACTCCCCACCGGCACCGCACCGCCCTGTGGCCAGCACTGCTCTGTGGGTCTAGAAACTCCCTTTACTCCCAGTACAAGTCCTCCACGGCCCAGCACTGCAAGGGAAGGTGAGGAGCACTGAAGTGCCCAGTGCTACTGCACCATGCAGCATCCCTTCCCAAGAGCCAACGCTGCTCCCAAGGGTGGGACCAGGTCCCGTCCCACCCGCAGCAGAGGACAGAGCTGCAAGGGGCTGGAGAACAGCCGTGTGCACTGACCAGGACCTGCAGATGCTGGGAGGGAGAATGACTTCTATTGCAACACACTATCTGTGGTTGAAGAGCCAAGGCTCCTCATCTTCCTTTGGCATCATCACGCCCCTCCGCAGGCAAACTGCCCGGCAGCACGGGTGAACCGCGCTCCCTGCGGATGCCCTCAGCCCCCGGTCATCCAGGCCCCAAACTCCACCCCAGCCCCCAGAGTGCCGTCGATACATCCCCGCTCTCAAAGCACCTCTGCACTCAGACTGTCCCACTGCACGCAGTGACATCGCCCCTGTCCCGAGGCAGGGACTCTCTGAACAGCCTGGAATTACCTGGGGTGACGCATCGTCAACGAAACGGGGTGATGGGCCTCCCCCCTCACTACAGCCAGCCACCAGCTTTGCAGGATTGTGTCAGAACACACTGGAGCAGGAAGTGTTTGGTTTCACCGTAGCCTTGGATCAAGGAGGATGGAAAGACTGATTCTGACCAAGAGCTCCAAACTGTCCCTGTGGAACAGTGGAAGTTCCAGGATTTCACTCAGTCAAGTCAAAGTCCTTGCTGGGTCTGTGGCAAGTTTGTGACTAGAGACTCACTGTGACAGAGGCTCTGAGCGAGCCACAGGCGCTGGGCAAGCCTGATGAGCAGTCAGAAAACTATTTACATCTCCAATGCCAATGAGGCCAAAATCTGTGACCGATAAGGACACTTGCGCAGGGGCCACCACGGCCTCTGGGTCTCTGTCCAAATCCACAGGGCCGGCAATTAAAGGCAAACCCTCGTTAATGTCTGCAGGGAGAGTGAAATCCATGGTTATCGTCTCACCAGAGCTCTGCAATGTCTCCTGCTTCCCTGCTAGTCCTGGTCCTGCCGGGGGCAGAGCGTAGAGCCCCGGTTCCGAGGGGTTGACGGTTGTTTGTGTGCAGGGCGCCGAGGCCGTGCCCGAGGACGTCTCCTCTGCAGGGTCGAAGGAACAGTTGGTCTCTGAAGGAGTGCTGCACTCGTAGCCCTGCCCCGACTCGCTGATGCTGCCCAGGCTGCAGGCCGTGCTCTCCACGCTCAGGGGCTCTGCGTGCCGCAGAGGAGGAAGTGTGGGAGGTGGACAGACAGCGAGGAAGAAAGGGTCGGGGACAGCGAGTTAGAGTGAGGCCATAACACACAAAAAAGACAGAAACCAGCCCAATTCCACCTGATGACAACAGTATTTGTTTAATGGCACAAATGTTTCCTTATAGCAACCAAGATCCCTGCCAGCATGTACTGAAGAAAGGCAAGATGCAGACAGCAGATGGGAGGCCATCAGTGTTTCTATGGAAATTAAAGGGAATCTCACAGAGACACTCCAAGATAAGCCAAATCCTAAGTCCTATCCTCTCCTGCTGACAGCCCTGGCAGGTGTCTACACAAAGCTCTCATCTGCAGTAGGATGGTGAGGGAAGAGCCCATCTCAGGCTTCCTGCAAGTCTTCTCCCAGCCAGCTCTCTCTGGAAGCAGGCTGCATGCAGAGTCTGACTTTCCGTGCCTTAAACCAGCCTCCCAAGGAGCTGGAGCTCCTCATGTCTGTGTGTTAGTGCACTGGAAACATCTAACTCTGATGCCCAAAGTTAGTGCCAATCCTTTTGCTTTGAGAATGACTTGGGCCACCTCTCCAAGCTCAGAGCAGGAACAACTCTTTTTAAGTCACTACAGATCAATGTGGAGAGAGACAAGTCTCCTTTGCTCAAAAACTCACCCAGGACTGTTTTTTTGACAGAGGGCAAAGCAAGCTCACTGGCGAGGTGTGGGGACAAGAGCAATGGATGGACAATGGCAATAGGACACAGGCAGGGGAGGGTCTGTGCTGCTGAGTGAGGAAGATGAGTTATCCCCGTGGCCAGCAGAAGAGAAGGCAGTTACCTGTGCTCTCTATTGCTATCTGATCCTGACCGAAGTGGGGATCCAGGCAGCTGGTGGCAGAGGGAATTGGTGGAGAGCTCCGAGAGCGACCGGTGTTTTCTACTTCAGCCCCATCCAAGTCATTGTCAGTGTAGTCCCTGTGGGGAAAAAGAGACAGCACTGCCACCCGCCGTTAAGCAGAGATGCAGGCAGGGGAAACACAACCAGGATTAAAGCCCATCAACAACTAAAGCAACAGGACTGCAGAGACCTCACCAGAATGAACACCTTCAGACCCTGCCTGAGGCCATGGTAGTTAACTCAGCGTTGCTGAGCACAGCCCACGACAAACCAGGACTGGCTCTGACGCTCAACAAATCAAAGAGCTCTGCACCAAAAAGAGCTCACTTCTCTGTGAGCCTCAGCCCCTCCCAAAGTGAAATAAACGGATGAACACTCTCCCCAGAACAGCCACCTTCATGGACCAGCTGCAGTGGGCTGTGACAGAGTCACTGTGCCAACAAAAAGTAAGTGATGACAAAATATTTTCCCATCCTGGGGGCATTTGACATTTCAGGTATTTTCCTGTCTTGCACCAGAATTAAAAAAAAAAACAACACAAAAACAAAAACAAAACCCACACAACTTTTTACCAAACAAAGAACAAGCAAACCCTAAGACTTCATCTAATGATTTAAATTGATTCAACTGAAGTATTTCATTTTGACCTTTCAAAACATGTCACTTTCAGTCTGAGAGGCATTTTCTGCAATTAGCACACATATCAAAGTGATGAATTTGCCTCAAAGGGTGGCATCAGGGAAAGAAATTAATTCATGTTGTAGACCACCAGAAACAGTGTATTTTCAAACTTAAAAAGCTCCCTTCTCAAAACCTCAATAAAGTGAGCTATCTCCCTGAGATCAGCCCTGAATCCCTCACCTAGCCTTAGCCTTCATGGATGCATTTACCTGAAACAAACCAGTATTTTCTGACACAAGGCAGTCCACATCCAAGCAAATACTGCTTTGTCTTCCCTCCCCACACGACCAGCATTTCTGTTCTGAGACTGTCCAGCACACCCCCCACCCCCCCACCCCAGAACCCTGCTGGAGCAGAAGGCGCAGTCTTTCACGCGGGGGTGCTTTGCAGCAGGGGCCTTCACGGGGAGGTTAATGTTACTAATTTTAGTGTGAGAATATTCCACGCACGTGGCTCCAGGGTGGAGGACGTACTTCCTCCTTCCTAGGCGGGTCTGCTGAGTGAAGTAGTCGTAGCGCTCCGACTTCTTCCACATGTAGTAGTACTCCACACACTCGCCCACCGACCGGGTGCGGACCTGGGGAGAGACGCCCCGGTCAGAACGCCCCGGAGCCAGACACACCTCAGGGAGCAAGGACCCTTCACCCGCTCAACCAGCACAGAAAATTAAATGCATTACATTTTACATTAATTTATATTGCTATGGACACGTGTATGCTGCAGAACAGAAGCACATAATGAGACTTCCAAGGTGGTAATTGGCCAGAGAAAGAACTCCCCACAGTGCACAACTGCTCCTGCAGACCCCGGTGTGGGCTCACAGATGACACGTTTGTGCAGGACCTTCCTGCACTTCCAGTAGCACAATTAACATCGAGAGAGCAAACCTGCATCCATTTTCACTGGCCAGTGTCAACATGCCCACAGTTAATCAGTGGTGGAACTGGACTCTCTGGTTCTGCCAACTCCCAGCGCAGCAGCACATGTCCTGGGGCCCAACTCTCCCTACAACAGCATCTTTCATTCTAGAGGACCTCAGGGGACTTTAAAAAACATCCACATGCTCAACTCACTCATTCACAGAAGTACTGCAAGGGCTGAGAGTTTGGAAAGAACTTTTGAGACTCCAGAAAGGGCTAATCAGTAAATAACTGACATCACTCATGCAGGTCAGTGCTGTTTGTGACTTCTCCCACCTGGAAAATAAGGCAGAGCAGGGCAGTGAACAGCCCATCACCTGCTAGCATGAGTCAACACAAAGCCTGGGGTTGAAACTCAGCAGTCCTCAACTTCCTGCATTGGCCGAGGCTCAGAACATACCTCTGGTGCAAAATGCACGTGCCTCCTTCCCCGAGTCTTAGTGGGATGCTGGTTGAGTGTCCTTACCTTGTTTGCCTGGATAAGATGAAAGTTTTTCCCATGGACCCTGAAGCCATGTTCAAAATTTCTACATTCTTCCTCGCTCCAGGCACAAAGCTCATCTACAGCAGAAAGGAGGAGGAATTAGAGACGCACAGAACGCAGGAAGAGCAACATGTGCCTTGACATTTGAGGTAGAACCCAAATGTGGGGGGGTTCTCACCTCTGATAACCTTCACATTGAACCGCAACCTCCTCAGAGCCTCTTCTGCATTGAAGTTGCATTTGACCAGTTCATACAAAGCCTGGGAAACAGAAGAAAATCACTCACAGCACACACATGAGCAACACACCACAAACCAACCTGCTCATGACTCACATCTGTCTTGTAAAACTTATTTTTCTCAGGAGCCACTTTCCACTAACCCCAGCTCAACCATCAGCACAGACAATTCCACTTCTCAAGGCACTGGATTAGAAACCCCAGGACTGAGAAGATGCAACTCTGCAGGGTAGAGGTGTGACTCTGTGGGAATCTAACCTGGCTGGCTTAGAGGAAACAACGGCTCTGGAGTTTCTTGGCCAAATGTTTGATCTTCTGCTGGCTTCAAAGAAGAATTAGACAATCCAAAGGAGGACAGTTTCAAAAGGATGTTCCTGCTGCGAGCGCTGGCTCAGAGAGTTTGGGACACTGAGAACACAGTCAGAGCAGTACCCACTCTCCACTTGCCCAGCCTGTTAGACTCTTTCCACACATCTTCCACATTTTTCCATTACTGTGTGGGAAGGAAAGCACTAAACTAGACAGGCCTGTGGTCAGATCCACGCCAGCCTTTCCCAGTATTTCCACAGGAGGGTGAAGATCCTCCTGAGGCTGCAGCTGAGTAGCACACCCTCACTCAGCCACAAGGCAGGAGCAGAGGATCTCTGGAATGAATGGGTGTCTCATTTGGGGTCTCTGTAGTTAATGCAGCACTATTTGCCCACCACCATCAGAGTCCCTGTGGGTACAAGAAGCCCCCAACATGTACCTGCTCGTTGTCCTTCACCATCTCCCCCTCCGGCAGGCTGCTGCTGGACAGCTCGTCCCATCGCCGTTTGACGGCGCGGTACAGGAACTCCTCAACCTCTCTCTCGGGGAGTATGTTTGGGTCCCAAAGCAGCTGATCTTCATTCTCATAGGCTAACAGAGAGAGCACTGAAGTAAGCTAATCAAACTGAGAATTCTGCTGCCTCTGAGAAATGCTCTGCAAGTATGCTCATGGGAGAGACGGAAGGAGAGAGGAAGTCTGCTTGGTGCTCCAACCTGGCACTGGAGATGACAGCCACCTCTGAAGGAACTGCTGATTCTGGAGGCAGACAAGCTTAAGACTCTTCATACCTCTTTTAGAGCCCTAGGCACAGGCTCAGCTTGCTTCTATTTTTCCAGAAGGGCCGGTTTACAAGGTTTTTGTTACCAGGTTCCAAAAGATAGTTGCTTTGATTCATTAATCCTGGAACCTAAACCCTCTCAAGTTCTAAGGTGTCTTTTCCAGCACACAGTAAACAAAAGGAGTGAAAAGCAAAGACAGCTTTTGAGCTACAACCCTATCCTAGACACAAAACGAAGCATTGCAAGGCTGTCCCTCCCCTGTGACAGCTCATAAGGCTCCTCTGAGCTGCTCCACCCACTGAGAACAGCAGAAGCCCATGGCATCACTAAGTGATTCTTGCCCCTTTCAGTTTTCAAGGCTCTTCATCCACGAGAACACGGCACACAACAATGCAGAGATGTTTAACTAAAATAACAGCCCAGAGGAAAACAAGAAAGACTGCAATAAAAAATATTCAGAAATACTGAGAATTTTCTATTTAGACAAAACCAGCAGCCTCTGTACTTAACTCATTTCTACAGGCAAAGGAAACAACTCTTCTGTCCTGCAGAATCACTAAAATCAGATCGGGGCACTGCAGATGGGGCATAACATACCCCATCAGGATCTAGCATCAGTTTCCTTGGATTTCATGCTGATGCAAACACACAGGTTATGGAGAGCACGCACTAAATCCATGGTCTTGAATACAGAAGCCTGAGAGCACCAATAAAGCAACGGTGAAAAATTCAAGAACTATACTGGGTAGATCTGAAACAGTACCTGCAAAACTGGTAACTTCTTCAGCTAATATGCTCAGAGTCTGCGAGGATAAAGGACTTATGGAGGAAGCCAAGTGATTTCTACAGATGTGCCTTTCTGTCAGCTCTCTCATTCAGAAACTTGGCAAGCTGCTGCTAATACTGTGCTAGTTATTAGACAATCTGCAACTCAAGGCACCTCCACCTCCTCTGCAGACATCCTACGAGACTGGAAACTGGTCAGCGCCAGGGAATACCAAGTGAAAATAACTCTGGCTACTCAAGGAAGAAGTCGGAGAAAAATAAATATCTCAGAAGGGTGTTCCTTCTCTGTGGCTACAGCTGAGACCCACTCCTCCAAAGCCACCACACCAACCCCATTTTCACTGAGCTTCTGTAGCTGTATTATTCATCCTGTCCCAACAGGCGAGTTTAGAGCCAGCTCAGGTGTAGCTGTAAATGTTGGTGTCAGCACTGAGAGGTGCCAGGCCTAGAGACACAGAGCAGAGCTGGTGAACTGGGGTCACATCAAAGGCCCAGGCCAGCACCCTACATCCAAACAAGACATACCAAGCAGGCTGCCTTACCTTTTTCACCGTGCCTGTTCACATGGAGGATGGGAACAGTGGCTTGGTATTGAGGTCCAACCATGATCTCCTGAAATATCACCACAGAGAGGTGGGTAAATTGAAATGGGAAATGTTCTGCAGAGGCACTGAGGTGAACTCCTTGATTTAGGGACCATAGACCCCACTGTCACTATTATCTCTAGGGAACCCTGACTATTTTATAGGGTGACTAAGAAGATTTACTGCTGACCAGGTGATACTTCAGGGACCTCAGGCATTTACATAATTTTACTGTTAAAGACATATAGCAATCAGCTAAGGCTGGAGATAAAGAAATGCAGCAGCTCTCCTGCAGCCTTCACAACCAGGATGGATTTGCAAGTCTGCTCCCATCTCTTGTAAGATGGTTCCCCCTCAGTAAATCCTGCTGGGAATATTGTGCAGCATTTCACCTTTATAGGGCTACAGGCTGCAGTTTTAATTTACAAAGGCACAGCAGCATTTTCCATGTCTGAAGCAGAAGATAATTTCAGGCAGAGATTTCAAGACTGTATTAAAAACAAATCATAACTCACATCTGCCACTGCCTTCCACAAAACATGAGGCACTGGGCACAACAGAATAAAAGAAACTTTCCTGGGGAAATACCACAGCACTTTGGTGTCATGCTTTCCTCAGACTCGGGTGCACTGCATGAGCTCCCCTTCCCAAGGCACTCTGATCATTTACCTTCTTACACTCGTTGGATGGGATGGAATCCTCCTCCGAATCCTCGGCCATGGAGGAAGCACACGGAGATGAACAGGGCTCCTTGTCTTCATCAGCAAGGAAGTTGTTTGCTTGGTGGGAAAGGAGAAGATCTGTAGTTATAAAGTATGGGGTTTTTTTTATTGCTTTATGTAACCTCTCCTTCCCTTCATTTTCTGTCCTGAAGTTACTTGAGCATGGTCCACGGTGACAACTTACCCAGATTTTCATTTTCCCTTTTTAAATAAAAGAATCAGAGTCACTTTGAAAAAAAAGAAAAATTATACTCCTTCATTTGCAGGACAGAAGGAATAAGATCATGTCCCACTGAGTTTCCTCATGTGCTTTGGCTTCCCACGCGTTCCAATATTTAGGAACTGCTGCAACATATCACACTGCTAGTACTACTGGATTTATTAACTTCTAGAGATGTCAGACCAGGTACTGATCTTCCGGGTGGCAATTACAGCAGGTAGCAAAACAATTCTCACTTTCTCAAATGTTATGAGTTACAGGTAAAGACAATTCTCCCCTCACCCCGCTGCTCATCTACACTCTACCTTGGTGACACCATTTGCACTCGGGCTTATTTGCAGCCCCTAGCAGAAAAGTGGAAGACCTGATCTCAGGAAACTAAGTGACAAAATAAAGAAAAACATTCCTGTCCTATCCTGCACATTACTTTTAAGTAAATTACTTAGAAATTAGTGACACATACAGCCAGGCTGGTTTGGGAATAGGTCCGATGCATCGTGGGATGTGACGGATGGAGTCAGATCATCAGCTGAAGACTGTGTCTCCTCCTCTTCTTCCCCTGAAAGCAAATCCTTCGCTATTTGTTCCTTTTAACAACAACAAGAAAGTGAAAAATATTTTTAATAATAATAATAATTAAAAAAAA